CCCAGGAAGTGCAACAGTCCCAGAAAGAGGCTCCAAGTCCTCCAGGGATGTTGATTTATGAAGATTTACTCACTTTCTCTCTGTAAAGCTGTTAGCAGAAAGTGCTGACTGGCTGCAGCAAAGAATTTCTCATCAATGCTCTTTGATTGTATTTTGCAAACAAAATGCCTGTTGCTTGGTAACATTTCACTTGAGCCTGACCTTCCCCGAAAGTTATTGCTATCAGATTCGATTTACACTGTCCTCCTGTGATTACTGTAATCTTTTAAACCCGGGAGTTCATCCATCAGGGAAAAGAAAAGTTGGTTGTGTAAGTCGAGAGCGCGGCTATCGGCCAGATTTATAACCCGGAGGCGTGTGCGGGGTGGGGGTGGGGGGATCGGTCCGGGCCGACCCCGTCCTCAGCGCCACCAGACGGACGCGACCAAGAAGCTGGCGGGCGCGCAGGAGCGACCCCCACCCGGAGTGCGTGACCCGCGTGGACACGGCCCCGGCCTAGGGCCGCCAGACAAAACTGCAGGGCGCCCGGTGAGATTTGAACTTGAGATAGAATAACCAAGGGCTTCTTATGCGAAACATGCCCGGTGCAGTCTGTGACATCCTATTTTTGGTTGGTTTGTTCTTCTGCCTGTTTGCACACTTCCGTGCTACACGTGGCCACCGCCGGAGCCGGGAAGGCCGCAGGGAGGGCGCTGCAGCCCCCGCAGCGGAGCGGGGAGGGCGCACGGGGGCCGCAGGGGGGGGAGTGCGGGGGGGGGAGAGCCGGCCGCGGACACCCCCCCCATCCCCGGGACCGGGTGCAAGGGGACCGCGGCCCAGGGCCGCCGCGCACACGCCTTCCCCAGACTTCCCGCACCGCCGCCCTCGGAGAGGAGAGCCCGCGGGGTCCCGAGTGCCCAGCGTGCCCAGCCCCGGGGTGAGGGTTTGGACGAGACCCCTGGGCAGGCGGCTGGGTTTTGTGTTTCAAAGCGCTACCTGCGTGTGAGTCAGGTTCCTCGCCCCCCGTCTGGCCCTCTTAAATAACCAGACCCCGTTTTTAAAAATTCACAGTAACACTTCATGAATGACTGTGAAGTCTTTCCCGCTTGTTTCGTTGGCTTCTAGCCTGTGGTCACCAGGGTTCCCCATCCTGGCCCGGACCAGTGATCCGGTAACCATCATTTATACTTGCAGGTGCGTCTGTCTCTTTAAAAAAAAAAAAAATTAAAGTAAAATTAAAAATTAGGAAGCGGACTGGACAGGACCCAATCAAGCTGAGGGCAGAACAGCTCAGAGCCGGCATTAAGTTGCTAGGAGGTGCCCAGCAGGAGGTAAAATTAAATAAAGGCAGTTTTCCAAAATCTCCTTAGTTCTTTCCCTGTTAAGTCTCTTTGCTCCTTTTCAGGAGAAACCCCTGGGAAAGGAGCTCCTACTTTCCTATTTGATCCTTTTCCTCCTTTCCTAACTAAATATACTGGTTTTTTGTTTATTTCTTTTTCCTTTAATTTTAAAGAACGTTGTGTGCGGATTTATTTTGTAGATAACTGGAGGAAGAATCTGTGACCACAGGTCTTTCCTTGCACAGCCGCAGGAGCCCCAGGTCACTCTGGAAGGAGGGGGGAGAGCTGGGGGGGGGAGGGATGGAACTCAGGAATGTAACTTTAGCTCCTCACCTTGGTCCTGACCCTTAACTTTCCTCAGCTCTTGAGCCCACGTCCTGAAAGGCTGGCTTGGCTGGTTAAAGCTGCTGACTCAGAAACACTGGGAGCTGAAAGATGTTTACGCTTCCTAGGATATTTTCATGGGGGGAGGGGAGAGAGGGAGGAGGGGATTTAGGAGAACAAGCAAGTTGATGGTATAAAGAAGCCTTATTTAGAATTTTGGGCTCAATCAAAATCTAATGGTGTCAGGCCAGCCATAGACGATAATCAAGCAGCAAGGGAGGAAAAAAGAATACCTCAATCTGTAACTGGAAGTAGCAACGTTAGGGTATGAAAATTCTCCTTAAAACCATAACCACATTGAAAGGGATACACCGCGTACTACACCGTTAGGTAAAATAACCCCTATTCCTTTTAAGAATTTGATGCAGGATTTTGAGAAAGAGATTTCTTTCAGCAACAAAACTGAGGGGGTTAACGTGTCACTGCCCTAACAACGTGGGTTTTCTCCAGCGGGTGTCCAGAAAACGTACCCTTCTCTTCCCACCCACCCCCCATCGAGCCATTGCTTTTCTCAAGGATTTCTGGAAAGACTCCTGCCTCTGTGTGCTTGTGTTTGTACCCAACAACAAAAAAGCATGTCTCCATAGCTATGCACTAAAGAGGCCCTTTGCAAAAAGAACCCCATTTTTGACAGAGACAGCACAAAGAAACAGATCTCGGTACTGTGTCAGTGGATATTTACATTCCTAATGGTCTGTGAACTTATTGCCCGTGTGGACACGTGGACGTACTATTCCCATAGGCCTTCACCTACCTCTCTAAACATAGGGAGCTACTTGTCCGGGAGGGTCTGATAAGCTTCTCAATGCGCACGGCACGTTACATACAAACAGTACAAGAACAATTGCAAAAAGGTATAATACAGCCACCGCTAATCACATCTAGACAGTTTTCCCTAACTTAAACCCCAAAGAGGCTTTCTCCAGATAAAGCACTGCACAGAACTGAGCCTCTCGTGTGCAAGCCTTCCTAATGGGAAATAATTATCTGTTCTTTTCCTGCCTCCTCCCAACACTGGATTGGTGGTTGGCTTTTTTTTTTTTTTTTTTTTTTTCAGAATGGAATTAGGGGGTTGAACCAATTGAAAGAAAAGAGAACAAAAGTTGTATAAATGAACATGCCAGGTATGTAGTGTGACCAGGGGGATACTGAGTTTTTGGTCCCTGATGGGGGGACCCCACCTCATACCTCTCCTTGTGGTAAACCCTAGTCTCCTTTTCAATTACTTGTTTTCTTTTTGGAAGGCTCAGGCTATCCCAGAATAATTGGTATGGAGTAAGGGAGTAAGAGAGAGCACCAGGTCTGGTTTGTCCAGTTGAAATCTGTCTTCTTCTTTTATTCCCCCAAAGCACACTGCCGCAGCTGCTACCCTGCCCGCCCTCCCCCCTTCTGGCCGCTGGGCACTCCCCCTCCTCCCCCTGCTGTTTTGGTTTGGGGACTCTTTAGAGACCTTGAACTTTGGCTATCCCAAAGGATGGTGTGAAGAGCACAGAATGTGAAAGAATCTCTTAGAGGAAGATACCAGAAGCCAGTGCCCATGGGGTGCTGCTGGGCAGATGGCCACTGCCAAATGCCACCCCCACCCCCACGACAGAAACCCCAACTCCTGCTCTGGTGCTGGGGCAATGAAGACAGAGAAACTGGAAACTGAAAGGTTAAGGAAAGCCATTGGCATGGGCCAGCTTCTAGAATGGAGACAAAACTCTCCTCGTTACTCTAACTAACTTGTCCTAACTTAAAGGAGAAAAGCAGAAAGAATCTTTCTCCCCACCTCCCCTTCCTCTGTGGCAAATCTATAAATACAAAGAGAACGGAAGGGACAAAATCAAGACAGGGCACAGGAGGGGGGGCGGGGGGCTCATGACTCAGAGATAGACGTCTACCCTACTTTGGATTAGACGTCCGCAAAATCCAAGTTCATCAAACTGTCCTCTGTCCATAAAACGCCCAGTCTTACTCTTCACATAACATGTTCTCAGAGCTTCAGGCCTGCAGAGCGTAACTGAGCAACGGGGCAGCCAGGCTGCCCACCAACTCACCCCAAACCCAGTGAGTCTCTATTTCCCCAGCTCCGCCCAGCAGTCCAGGGCTCCAGAAAGCCTGTCTCCAGAAGCAAGGGGTAATGTCTTTTGTGGGGCTGCTGTAGTCAGGAGCTCGATCAGTTCTCCCTACAGGAGGGCGCTGGGCCTTCCAGGGCCTTCCCTCTGCAAAGTCCAGCATACCCTACTACCCTTCCTGGGAAGGCGGGCTGTTTTCCTTTATACATTTGCCCCCGTCCGCGGGAGCAAACACATGTCCACTCAAATCGAAGAGCCTAAAATCAAAGCAGCACTTGGGCCTCGCAGGAGAGCCAGGTGAGATTCTCCAGGAGCAGAGACCCAGCTGAGGTGTGCAGGCCTGGAGGAAGGAAACGAAGCGGGGAGGTGGGGTGGGGGAATATGCCGGGGCTGGGGTTGACCCATCCTCACCACAGCACCGCAAGGAAGAGAGTAAAGGGGAGGTGGGAGACGCTTTGCTCCAAATCCGCGCCTTAGCAGCTTGGGGCCCAGAACCCGGGAAAGGGCTGGGCAGAGGCGTCCTTCTCCACTCTAGGTCAGGTTCCGAGACACAGCTGAGGGCGGCCTGAGGGACGGTGTTTAAAGGACCTGAGCAGCTCTGCAAAAGCTGGGTGCGCCAGATTCTGGGTCCCCGCTGCTAATCCAGGAACGTTTCCGGCTCTTTTTAACTAGCTTGTAAACGGGGCTTCCTTCAACAAACTGCAAGAAGCTGGAAGGCACCGTGCGCTACGAGAAAGGCTTCGAGTTCGGTCCCATTCCTTGGGGTCCGAGAAGCAAGCCCAGCTCGGACTCAGCCAAGCCTTGGCCCGACTAGTTAGTTACCTGCACCTACCTGTCCCGACCTCCCAAGGCAAGGCCCCTAAGCCCGCAGCCAGAAAAGCCCGGCCACGCGATGGGGTGCGTGCCCGCGTGGGTTTTTAATTTGGTCCCGTTTCGACCTCTTTACCGGCTGAAGCAGCCCACGTTCCCCTTTTTACCCCGGGAAGGCACGTGGCGAGCCGGATGCACGGTGCCGCCGTTTGGCGCGCCCGCGGCGCCTGTCCGGCCGGTGCCCAGGTTCCACCCGCCACGGGTCGGGGCTGAAAGCCGGCCCGCGCCGGGAGCGTCGGAACCGGCTTGGCGCGACCTCGGCGCGAAGGCCGGAACGCCTGCGTCGGGGCCTCCCCGGCCGAACCGCGGCGGCCCTCGGATGTTCCCGCCGCCGCGCCGCGCCCGGCCCCCGCGCGGCACGCGCTCTTACCTGGCTTGGCGAGCGGCGCCTGCAACGCCGCGGGCTGGGGCTCGGCGGCCCAGCGCAGCGCGGCGGCCGCAGCCAACTCGGCCGCGGGGCGCGGCGGCGGCTGCGAAGGCTGCGAGGGCGGCGGCGGCTGCGGGGCGGCGGCGGCGGCGTCCCCCGGCGGCGGCGGGGGTCCCGGCAGGGCGCGCAGGGAGTCCGGGATGAGGCTCTCGAGGCTCTCGTTGGCCTGCTGCCTGCGCAGCGCCACCTGCGCCGCCATGACCCGCTGCCGCTCGATGATGAGGATGCACTTCTCGCAGGTGCAGTCCTTGAAGCGGCAGTAGCGCTTGTGACCCTTGAGCCAGGACAGCACGCCGTGGTTGCGGCAGCGCGCGCACTTGGGCGTGCGCTGCAGGGGCGCCCGCGGCGGCTGCGACACCGGGCCGCCCATGTACAGGTAGGGGGAGCCGTAGCCGTTCATGCCCCGGACTCCAGGAAGAGCGGGCGGGCTGGCGGCGGCGGCGGCGGCGGGCCAGGGGGCGCTGGACGGCGGGGCAGGGAGGCCCGCTCCCGGGCCGCCTCCGGGCGGCGCGCTCTTCGGTCCCGCAGCCGCGGCGGCCGCGTGCGCTCCGGGGCGGCGCGAGGGGCAGCGGCCGTCTTCAGGGATCCCGCGACGCCGCCCCCTCGGCCTCGCTGGTGCTGCGCAGTCCACGCGCGTCGCGTCTCTGCCGGCGGCCGCTTCGGCTGGCGCGTCCTTCCTCGCCGAGGCGTCGCGGCGGCTGCAGAGCGCCGGCGGGAGCTCCGGTCACGGGCTGAGCCAGCTCGTCTGCAGCTCCCGCGCGCGCCGGGCGGCCCCGGCACCTCCTCCGCCGCCCTCCCCCCACCCCCTCCTCCTCCCTCCCACGGCCACCCCCACCCTCAGGGTCCCGATCTCCTCGCGCTCCCCACTCCCCACCCCGCTCCACGCCTTCCTCCTTCCTTCCCGCTCGCGCCCCCAGAGTCCCTGCACGTCACCTTCCGTGCCACCTGCAGCCGGGCCACTCCGGCGGGGGCGCTCACGGCCCGGACCTCCCGGCGCCCTTCGCCCGGCCCGACTGCGGCGCTCCGGGACGCGGCGGTGCGCGCGGGGCGGGGAAGAGGAGGCCCGGCGGGGGTGCGGGTGGAGGTGCCCGTGGGCCAGTGAGCTGGCCGCTCCCCCGCGTTCCCCTCCCCTCCCCGGAGGCCCGCTTTGTCCGCACCGAGCCCCGGGCCACTTTCATCCCCACTCTGGGCGGCCGAAAAGGCTCCGCGAGATCTGCAGCCTATCGGAGCGTGGCGGGTGCACTCGGGACCCAGCAGGAGCCGAGGGGGTTTTTAACTTGGGGCGAGCCAGGCCCTGCGGCCACTGGCGGGTGCAGCTGGGGTAGCGCGGTGCAGTTGGTTCGGGAAATTTTGGCTTTCTTGATTTCCTTTGCAATATTTTTTTTTTCTTGTGCTGCTGCAGAATAAAATGTATGTTTATGAAAACCCGCTGGCCCAAGGATGACAATCCATTTTGCAGGCTATTTCAAAGGGTAAAAGGGTGCCGACTCTGTCGTTGAGCTTATTTCTCTACCCTCCTCCCCATGTTTTAATAATAATAATAATAATAATTTATTATTATTTTAGGGGGGAAAGTTTCAGTCCTGAAAAGCCAGGAATTGCTCCTGGGGAGGATCTGCTTACGTGCGGGGTCTAACTTTCAGACAGCGGACGGAGGGGCCACGTTAGCACCCCACAAGTTGCCGGATGTGATGATCTCCACTCTGGTCTGCCCAACAGTCATTGTACCATCAAAGGGAGGTCTGGAGTCAGCCAGTTCAAATGCCGCCAGGCTCAGTGATTGAGTTATGTACGAGGGATGGGGCCATTCCTCCCCTCCCCCCACGCCCAGTGTCTCTGGGGAGGCGTGGATGGGCGCCCTTGCACCAGATGACAGCAGCAAACTTTGTTCAAACTGTTAGCGGCGTGTCTCTAACCTAGCAGTACCGGTTTGGCCTAATGCAGCCTCCCGCTAGAAATGCGCAGGGAAGACTAAGCAAACACACACACAGACACAGACACACACACACACACGCATGCACACACACAACGCAAGAAAACAAAGAAACAAGCAAAAATGGGAGGACACAGCGGTGCAGGCTAGCACAGCGGTTCAGTGCAAAGCCGCGGAGAGGGCATTCCCGGAGCCTTCGTTCAGCAGGCTCTTGAGGACGCTGAGCTCATCTCTTGGAGGTCTGGACGAATCAAATCCGAAGAGTCCGCGGCAATGGCCAAGCCTTCGGCTGCACGGCGTCCCTTCGCCCCTTGTCCCCTCCGGGAAGCCGTTTTTCTCCGCGCTGCCTTGGAAGCCAGCAACGGGGACACGTCCCTCTGTGTTTGCTGTGAATTCAAGTAAAAGCGTCGCCAGGCGTTCCGGAGGCCAGCCCTCCGCGCGAAGGGCGATTCCGGGGAAGGGAGGAGGATTAAAAACGGAACCGGCGTCCCTTGAAGTCCTCGGCCGCCCCCCTTTTCAGACTAGTCGGGGAGCTGGGGGTCGCTGGATGCTGGCCTGGTGGGGGGGCGTGGGCAGGAAACCTGTGCGGGACAATGCTACTCCTGGGCTCAGACTGGATCAGTACAGACCCCTCAGTGTAGCCTCTCCATCCCTTCCCGCACCCCCCATTCATCCCCACGCCCCGCCTCAACCCTTCCCCCGACCTCGGTTAGGAAAACAAGCCCTAAAACACCACAACTGGAGGAAACATCCTAAGCTCTCAGGACCGGAGACAAAGGTCACCGGCGCCGTCTCGGGGCGGGGCCGAGGCTGGGAAGTGGGAACTGCCGGCCAGTCCCTTCACCTAAAGAGACGAGGAGGGCCCAGGATGACACTGAATCTGGGAACTTTCCCGGGGAAATCTTTGGGTCTCTTGGGAATGCGAGGACCACAGACCTTTTTTTCCCCCATAGACGCTTGCCTCCCAATTTTCTCCAAATGGTCAGCGAAACTGTAAAGAATTTTTTTTTAAAGGAAAAGAACAGCTCTCAAAACAGGTTGGGGGGGGGGCATTCCCACTACCAAGGCGACCTCCTTTCCTCCTCCAGTCACCTAGCCATCCTATCCCTTCGCCACTCAAACAGTCTGGCATTATTTGGGCCGGGGCCCCATTTCACTCCAGTGCACATCGGGAGCTGAGATCTAAATACTCATTTGATATAGCGCAATAATCCTTTTCTCATATTTGATGGGAATGTTTTCCATATCCCAGTATTTGACAACATCTCCCTATAGGAACAGGTTTGTATTTATGTTGGTAAAATGTCCCCTGCCTCAAAGTCTATTGTAACCCAACACCTGACAACCCGGAGTCCCATTTCTGTTTGCAGAAAGGGTTTATTCAAGCACATAATGGGATCCCAGCAGAAAGCCTTCCTGAACAAGGGGCTATGGTAAACTTCACCACATGAACTCCGTTTCCAGGGCTATTAAGCTTTTAATTGGAAAATAGCAGAGGAAATTTCAAGGTGACTATAACGTGTTAGCAGTTAGTGCGGAGAAGAAAAGCCTAAGCGGGGATGAATGTAGAAAGCATATGGTCCGAATCACGTTTAGGAGGAGCAGCCCCGCTTCTACTAAGTCCCCGCCACTTACTTTTGATGAAAAATCATCAAAGAAATTGCAAAGGGAGGGAGGCGGGTTACAAGTAAATGTAACCTCACTCGCTTGGATCCACTCACGTTCTCCTCTGGGTGGTGGTGTGTGCGCTCAAACCACAATTAACTAGGTAGAATTGTGACAGGTATTAACAGCGAAAGGGTGAAAGATAATGTGCGTAGGTAGTTGTCTTTCTCTGTGGCTGCTCTCACTGCGTGTGTACATTTAAAAGCTGGGACTGGAGATGCGCAACCTGAGAAGCCAGAAGATGTTCTGCCTCCAAATCCAGGAGTCCTGGTAGATGTTCCTCCCCGCAAAAAATAAAATAAAACCAAAACCAAACAAAACACACACACAAACAGAAAAACACCCACTTAATCAAAAGCACAGTTTCACATGGTCCGGGATGTATACTGCATCAGAAAATTTTCTGCTTTGCTGAATTCTCATGGAGGGGAGGTCAGGGTTCCTATTTTGCCATTTTTATCGCGACCGTGGTGAGGCTGGAGGCCAGGGTTTGCAGAAAGACCCGAAAATGCAAGAAAATGAGCCTCCTCTGCCTGGCGTGAACTTCTCGTCTCTCATCCCGTCCCTGCCTCTAGGCATCGCCCTTCGGCCAGCTTCAAAGTGAATGCCGGGGATGACTGTCTGGGGACGCGGTGGGGCAACCAGCAATCGATTTCTTGAGGTGACAATAATGCTCTTGTTCTCCCTCAATTAATTGGGGGAGAGACTCCCTCGCACCTCCCATAGATTCCCCGCAGCCGCCTTCTGGGGCGCAGGGCGAAGGACAGAGGTCACTTGTGACCAGGTTGGGGCGGGGGGGGGGGGCGGGGGGAGGCGAATGAACCTGCGTCTGCCCCGCCCGGGAAGTGCGGCCAAGCAGAAAGAAGGTTCACGAAGGTCCTGTCCCCACACCACTTTGGCAGTGGGCGGCCTGAAGATCCTTCCGGGCCCAAGTCTTCTTAAGCAAACAGGGGCACAAAACAGCCCGCAGGCCCTTTCCGGACAGTGCAGGTGCTGCCCTCCGCTCCTTCCTTCGCGTTCTCGAACTCTCGAAACCAGCAGGGGTCGTGCCTGGGCGCTAGCGCTCCCACCCGCGCAGGTGTCTCAGACCCAGCCCAGACACCAGGCCTTGCCTGCCCTTCATCTTTTTTTTGGGGGGTGGGGGGGAAGGGGGACGGGGATGTCGCTCCAACTTTGCTTTATCCGAGGGGCCCACTGAGAGCCGACCTCCGCGCCGCGCTTCGCAGGGGAAGTGGAGACGCGCGCTCGCAGCGCTCCCCACCGGGCCAGGGCCTCGGCCCGCCTCCCCCTGCCCGCGCGCAGGGCCTGGGGCTCCGGCCGCGCCGCCCCGCCCGCGGAGCAGCGGGAGGCCGGGGCGGGCAGCGGGCGTCCGTGCCGCCCGGCCCCGCTCGCCGGAGGCTCGCCGTGGGGCGGCCTGCACACCCCGTGTGCCTTCTGCGCGAAGGGGAGAAAATACCGTGCACTCTGCGAGGGAAATCGAGAGCGGCGCGGTCCTGAGAACGTTGCAAAGATCAGGTTTCCCTTGGACTTGAACACTCAGAACAAAACCAAACAAAAAGGCCAGGGAAAGCTTTTTCAGTAGTTCGAGTGACATTCAAGGGGCAGAGTCTTTTCTCCAGGGCCCGCTCTCTGGGCGCCGGGGTAGCGCTCTCCCGGGACGAGACACTCTTCCAGAACGCTCTTCTGCCTCCGCCTGCCCTGTCGCCCCGCGGCCCCGAACCAAGCCCCGCAGCGGGGAAAGTGGGCAGCTGCGCGGCCTGCCAGAAACCAGCCCCAGCCCGGTCCCGGGGATAATGGGAAACGGCGGGCACGGCCCGCACCGCGGGGGACGCGACTGCGAACTCCACGCACGGAAGCCCGACCAGAGGCGGGAGGGCCACGCACCCAAGGGCGCCCCACGCCGGGGCGCAGGCACCGAGGCCGTCAGCTCCGGCGGCCGGCTCCGGAGCCTCCTGGGCGGGGCGACTTCCGGAGCGCTCGGGGCCCCGCCCACCCAGCCATCGCCCCGCCCCCGCCAGGGGTCCCCCGCCGGCCCGCCCCTCCCGGCCTCTGCTTTGCACTGCTGGGAAGTTTGCGGGCTGTCCTGGGATGGGGGTGCGGGGAACTTGGCGGAGTCGTGGCTGAGAGAAGACCGTTCGCGTCCCTGGGAAGGGGCAGGCGGACGCGGCGTCTTCTGCGGCGAAGTTCGCGAGTCGTCGGCAGTGGCCGGCGCGGGCCGAGCGTGCAGCCCCCGGGCTCCGGCCTAGTCCGCGTGTGCGCGCCGAGGGGACCGGAGGGCGCAGGCCCGGGGCCTCGGGGGGGAACCTCCCGCTGGGGCGGGGCGAAGCCGAGACGGACCCCTCTCCTTCCACCCATTGACCTCCAGCCTATTTTTGAGACGCGTAGCGCTTTCCACGAAGCGCTTTGAATACCACTTGGTGCAAAACGTCAAAATGCGGTGCAATATGCGTGTACGTGTGACCCCGATTCCGCACTGGAGTTCACCGGAAGGGGAGTTTTTTGACGTGCCCAACAGTTTGGTTTCCAGGACGTGCAAGGGACAGCGGTGGCGGCTGCTGCCTCGAACGGACGTCTCGTGCGCGGGCCCCGGTGGGAGCCCCCGCTATGGGTATGGCAGTGGCTGTCGCAGCGAGGAGGCAGTGTCACCAGCGTCGCCCTGGGCGTCAGAGCAGCTTTCCCTGAGGCCCTAGTTCCGCAGAGTGGGGTCCGCAGCTCGCTAGCAGGGTGAGAACATGGGGCGCCGAGTGGGGCGCCGACCCGGGGCCGCGTCCGCTTGTAGTAGGGGGAACGGTCGCCCTTGACCGCAGCTCCTGCGGGAGCCCGAGACGGCCTTGGGGAAAAGGCGTGTGTTTGGTTTGCCTGGAGCCCAGGAGGGGAAGGCCCCGCGAGCCTGCCTCGGTTTCCCCGCGTTGGAGCAGCAGAAGCGCCCCCCAAATGCTCAGGGCTGTCCCGGCCGCCCGCCAGCTGCGTACGGGATGCCCGACGCGCCCACACTCGCACACACGTGTGGGGCACACGTGTACTCCGCACACTCCAGGGATATCGCCTGCAGGGGGTCGCGGCCTTGCTGTTACACGTCTCACAACAAGGGACCAAAGCTTTAACGTGACTCAAATGTGTGTATTCAAACATGGTTAAAATGGGACGACCAAGCCTTCCTGTGGTTGCTGTACCTGGTGTTCAGAATTTGCCAAATTCCTAAAGTTGAGCACCTGCTAGGCCAGGCCCTGGACCAGCCTGGCCCCCTCCCTAACAGGAATAAACAGCAGTGGGGTAGTGGGGGGGGGGGGCCTTTAGTGCCAGGTGGGGCCCTCCTGGAGGGGCAGGATTCAGAACCAAATCCGGCAATGGGCCCCCGAGGGGAAGCCTCCCCAAGGACAGGCGCTGCCCACCCGACCTGCCTGACTCCCTGGGTGCCTGCAGCTGGGAGTCAAACTCACGCCCGCAGGAGGCAGCCGAACCCAGAGCCCGGCCCGGGCGAGGGAGGGGTGGGCACCAGGGGCCCAGAGGGTCAAATCTTTGGCAGCGCCCTGCCAAGTTTACCCGGGCTCCACTGGCTTTTCAGAAACGCAGGGACACTTGAGCACGTTCCCCGAGGAGGCACCCTAAACCCTCCCCTCCCCCCCATGAGGGGGCGGGCGTGTTCGACTCCCCCCCCAAAAAAAAGCCACCCGCCGAATTCATGTGTTGGGGGCATCTATGGAGAAAGGCTGAAACTGGAAGCCGCCTGGATCCACGGAAGCCAGGATTTTAAAAAATGTAGGGAGCCTGGGCAGTGGGCAGGAAGTGCACGAAGTATCTTCTTAATCTTCGGAAAAGCCACCATTAACGCCTCAGAGGTGGCGCCTCCGCCGCCTGGTCCCTGCCTTGCACGGCCCGGCCCGCAGCCTTTAGGCTTCGCCACCACAATAGCTCCAGCGCCAGCCGCCCCGAAGGGCACACGGCTGCAGTAGCAGCAGCCTGACAAGTGTGATAAAATGATCTTCCTTAACTAAACTCGTAAAGCACTGGGCAATAAAACTCAATCTTCTGTAAAATCCAATTAAGTCATTATCTGACTGATTGTATCTTTAATTGAAAACAGAAGTGACAGTAAATTTCTGTGATATATCAGGATCAATCGATACCACTATACGATTCAGCCCCAAGAAGTGATTTATAATGTCAAACCTATATAGGTAACTCCACATTATTCTCTCTAAAACCACTGGTGGATGAAATTAAGAGTAAGTGCATTTAATAAAAAACAAGATGGTCAGGTTATTGATTACAACAGATGGGGGTGAAATCAAATAGATGTTTTCAAAGCACAGAGCGAAGAAAATACAAGTAATTTCTTTTTTCCTGTTTAATACCGCTCACCAAATATACACACAAGAAAATTCAGTCATCAATAACATTTTTATTTCAGGTACAGCTGCTACTACACAGAACAATGAATTTTTTTTAGACTAGTTTCATTTCAGGATGGTTTCTGTTACATACGGAAGTACTCCACAAGCAATTTTTAACAAAGTAATGAACTCAGAAATCTGTAGTAACTTTTAAAGATGTACTTATTTTCAAATCAGATTACAACCTAAGGTTACAAAATAGTCTAGATTGCATCCATTTTTTCCCCCTGTAGTAGAAGGAATGTGTATGATAAACTCTCCTATTATTCTAGAAACAAACCCAGGAATTCTGCTTACTGAGGTTACTTTCCATTGTGTTCTTTTGAAATTACCTTTTATGGAAAAGGCAGTGGTTCTCAAGGGCTTTAATTTCTTTCTCTGACTGTATTTCAATCAGGTTTTGGATGTGGGGGGGTGGGCTGGGGTAGGGTTAGGCTTTTCCAGCTGCAACACAAACACACTGTATTTCCATTTACTCTGACTTGCTGCAGATTTCTAAAACAATCACTAAGTTTCTCTGCTCTTCTCATTGCTCATGTATTTGGCTAAGTTTATATTTTTGCAGTTTCATTAAAATACTAAAATAGAAACGTCTAAGGTACCTAAGATTTCATTTTAAAACCAGAGGTAATATCTAATTAGGACACAGTTGGAGGCAAATATCCTTCTTTACTTTAGTGAATTACTGCATTTCCTGAAAACTATAATGTAAACCAGTATTATCAAAAAAGTGGGGGTGGGGGATACTGCCATTTAACTCCGTGAGCAAAGCACCTAATTCTTTCGGACGGTCGTCCTGGATCCTAAACTATTCCCAATATATTTTGGCCTCTGGGCTAAGCTCTAAGGAGTATAAACCAAACAGGTTCTCAACAGTTAAGTGGACCTGAGTCAAGACAAAATAAGAACAACAAACCCTGTGTTTCAATGAATACACCTGCTACTCCGAGGGACAGGCCAAAGGCATCGGGCACCATTCACTCGTCTTCTTCGATGACAGCAGTAACGCTGAAGCTGCTAGGCTCCGAGGCTGACTCGCACTCGAGCACCCCCTTTGTGCTCTCGTTACTAATAGGAGAGCTGCTGGAGAGGGAAACCAGGCCAGAATCTTGACTGCTGGGCGGCGAGAAGACTGGGTCGTGGGCGAGAGACAGGGAGGGAGAAGAGCACATTAAAAGTGGCTAGTCCTTCTACATTCAGTATTCAATCAGGTTTCGACAAACACCGAGGCGCTCTGCGTTTCCATCCCCTGCGATGGAACCAACCAGAATGTGGTTCCAGGCAGTCATTAAAACCCCCAGCATTTCTTTAGAATAAAAAACAGTATTCCTGCACAATATTTAGGCAGTAATCTATTTATGTTGGAAGGGGAAAGTCAGGCAGTGCATCAAGAAGAAACTAACCAGTCTGCTCCCCGCCTCTTTGGGGAAAACTATTTCTACCCTTCACTGAACCCCTCCCCTTTATGTAAAGGATGCTAATAGAACTTGTCTTGTCAAATGATCCGTCTGACAAATTACCCGGAGCAAGACTCCACCCATGTATTTCCACCATTTGACAGGTAACCCTAAGTTTTTCAACATCTAGCAAACGAAGGTGATAGCATATCAATTTTCCTGTTATTTCTCTTGGATATACAGGGACAAACACTTGCTCTTTATATAACTTTTGCAAACCAAAAAGCAGGAAATGGGAGGGAGACTTTTTTAAAAATATAAAAAGTGAAATATACCTTCACTAAAATAGAAGTCAGGTAGAGATTTTAAACTCAAATCTGTGAACATAAAACTCTACTAGGAAACTGACATTAAATATGAAAGATGCTAAATGTGCTGAACAATTTTTGCAACCTCACAAGGCACGGTAGATACAAAATTTAAGCAAAAGGGTCTCTGACCTTCTTAACCTTAGCAGAGTTCAGATCCACCCCCAGAACTCCCTTCCTGCCTAGTGTGAATGTAATTAAGGGGAAGCTGCAGTGGTAATTTCTCTCCTCATTAACTTCCTGATTGGTTTCAGCCTCAGGATTCTGCCGGGCAGTAGTTTGTCACCAATTCCAAATGGCCAATCGTTAATACTAATGTTTGTGTAACTAACTGCCAGCATCTGCCACGGCTTCTTGTACAACAATAATGGTGAAAGGGTACATTAGTGCTCCTGTGTTAATTCAGCTTGTGTTCATCAATAGGGAAATCTATGATGTAATTAGCAAAATGCACTGGGAACTGAGTGCTGAAGTCATTTGTAGGGAACTAAATCATCGTAGAAGCTGTACCGGGTCCTGATTTGTTTGCCATCAATACTTATTATGTTTGGGATTTAATAAGGTATATTACCACGCTGAAAAGAGACCTTTTTACAAGAGAACACTATTTATGCTTGTTATGGGTTTGGAAAAGGTTTGCTGCGGCTGTGGATCCACACAGAACTGAAAGAACAGAGCTGGGATTTCAGAAGCGGACCTTTAAAACCACTCTGCGGTACCAAATTATTTCAGAGGCTCCTTTCTTCTAACATAACATACGGATGGACAGACAGAAGGGCGGAGAGTTTTGTAGGGCTGCCTCAAATGCCTCCAGTAAGGAAAGGCATGATCTGGAAACTTGGTGAATAAACCTGAAAAACAATTTAGGCAATTTCCTGACAAACAATTACCTTTGATGCTGATAGTATTTGCTTAGTGACTTAAATTAAAAGCAAGGGTAATAGTGGATAAGCCTTTTTTGTTTTTTAAAGTCGAGCGCTGTTAAACAGTACTTTACAGACACCAACAAAATAAACACACGCGTACAGAAATAAGTAATGCCAACCCAAACACCTGGGAACCTAAAAAAAAAAATCTGAAACCTTCACTTTATTGCAGCTTATAAGACTACATTTGAATTGTTACCTGGATTTAAAAATCCCTGCAAATCCAAGATGATTTATGAGTTGTGCTACATACACACCATGCTGTATATACAAAGAAATGTTTTTCCCAAGGTGGCTGGACTTTGCTCTGACCTCTTGGAGCTACACAAAGGTCTGGAGAGCCGGACTAAGCAGTAGCCAGGGAGAGCAGAGCGCAGGAGCTGGCTGCCCACCGCGCCCATCCCACCTCAAACCAGTGACACAAGCTTCTCTGTCTGGAAGCGAGAGTGAAGTGAACGTTTACTGCCCACTTCCTGTATTCCACACTCTTTAATGAAATATTTAATCCTCAAACCAGTCACTGAAAGAATTAGTCCCGCTGGTTGATGGAGGGGACCCTGTGTGACAGTGGTCAGCCCCACCACCTGCTTGGCTCCCCCCCCTCCTTGGGTGCCACAGTCAGTCCCTGGCTGGGGCGGGGGGCGGGGGGGGGGCTTCCTAATCTCCGGGTGAGTTTAAGGAGGCAAAAGAACTGACCCTTGTCAGACTAATGCAGGGGCCAGAAAGGAGGGAGCGAGTGCTCCCTGCCACGTTCTGAGCCCTGGGCCTGCCTTCTGCCTTCAGTCAGTAGCTGACCCAGGAGATGCCCCTCCACCCCGGCCAAGCACCTCTTACCCCCAATTGACTGATCTGCGACCAGAAAAGGGAAGGGCAGGAATTCTGCAAAAGGCGGAAATGTGGGGACCGCTCCCTTTGGCCCTCAGCTGCCTTGTGCGTGTTTTCTCGGAAAGTATTCCTGGGACTCAGACTACAGAGATACACACGGTGTCACCTTGTCACCTGCCTGGACCGGGGAGGCTCTGTGCACCCCTAATCCGTGACTGCAATCCCGGAAGGATGCAAATACATGAACTCAAGCTGTTCTGGAAAGTGCCAGCATTTTCCAGTGGCTCTCCGCTCAAAATTTCAATCCGTGTTATTTTTACTGTTGTTCAAGGCTTGGCATTGTCTTTGAATACTGGGACAGTGTGTGTTGAGCTCATTTTGTGCGGCCCCTCCTAACAGTCCAAGTGCAGGAAAGATTTCGGAAGCGCTTATCCTGGAGACTAATGTCCGAAATCTGTTTTACTACCGTCCTTAAAGATACCCTTCTCCGTTTTAATGCAGCTTCATTAAACTTTGTTGGGGGAAGAGTCATAATTGGTCACTGTAAATCATTTTACACCAATTAAAAATTCCAAAGTCAGAATTATCCTCTCTGCTTTTTAAGTTGATTTTAATGAGCCTGACACAAGGCTAATTTCAGCTCAAAAGGTTCCTCTTAATTATTTTGTAAAAATGCTAATGCCCTGTGTCAGTGGCGCTGTGAGAAAAGGTACAGCGCTGGTAGCACTAGAAATTGGTTCCGTCTTTCTGGACAGCAATCTAGTGACATGTAATGAGAACCGTAAAACTGTTCATCCCCTCTGACCTGGTAATTCCACTCTGGGGAATAAGCCCAAAGAAAGAATAATTGGCCCAGAGATGCTCAACACACGACTATTTGCATCACTGAAGATGTTAGTGCTTTGCTCCAGGCTGGGAGTGGGGGTGGGGGGATGGGGACAGCTGAGCTGGGCGGGGGTGGGGGGTGGGCAGGAAGCTTTCAGGAGCGATAAACAATTCAGAATTACGCTACCCCTGGATCCCGGGCAGGCTCCTGGCATTTACAGAAATGGAAGAAGTGACTTCTGGAGACCGAGGTAGAGCCTAAAAAGTAAGAAAAGGGAACACAGAAGGAAACTTGCCCATCTGATCTTTTCTCCGCTTCCAGTGAAAGGTGGGTAAACGCCCGGGGCTGACCCTTGATTGAACCAGCAAGCCCAGTATCTGTTTTCTCTCAAGTAGCCTATTTGTCTACAGAAGCTAGAGGAAGGGCTTTCTTGGACTATTATTTAAAAACAAACAAAAACCCTTACAAAGAATCACACTTCCCGGTGCTGGGGAGGGGAGTGGTGGAAAAATTTAAGATGACGGAAGTGATGCCGTCTAACCATCATCTTACCGCCACCCCCAAACCCACCTCCCTAAAAAGCAAAACAAAAACCACTCTAACTGCTAAATCTTTCGACATTGCAAAGACCTCTGACTTTTAACTTGAATGATCTGTTGGAAGTCAGTGGGCTGGAATGAATAATTCTCCTCCAATGGTGTGAGAAAACAGGATATTCATGCTTGAGAAAAATTTTCTTCCTCTCTATGTGAAATACTATTCAACGCCCACTCAGAAACCACTTAAAAATAAGAATGCAAGCGGCATTCTTCAATTGTTAGCAAGTCTTCACCTCCAAGTGGACACGGAGAAAACAAAAGTGCTGGCCTTGGAGTCTGATGGAAAAGCTAATGAAAATTTCTCAAACAACAGATTCTTCCGCTTCGCAATAAACCGTAGTGTTTGGAAATAAAATCCCGTCCAATCAATACCACTTAGCAGATATTTAATGTTTCACAATGGAACTCTTTTCCGCTGTGAAACTGCTGCCCCTTCTCACTAACGTTTAAAATAATTAGGATTATCTGGGCCAGTCCGAAGCTTGGCAGGTTCAGTCTGTACTTTCAAACAGCATTAATTCTTGGCACTCGGCACAAGGGATAAAAGGTAAAGATATGAATGGAGATCTTTATTCAACCCGATCTATCACGGATTAGCTCATTCTTTTCCAGTTCATGCCTGCACTCCAGTTAGGGGAGGGCAGAGCTGTAACTGATGTAATTAGAAACCACAAGCTGAGAAAAAATAGCCCTTTATTAATCTCGCGCATTTACTATGTATTTACTAAATGTGTGTGTGTGTGTGTGTGTGTGTGTGTGTGTACACACACAAATAAAATTTTGGGGACAATTAAATGTGTATTTTTCCCCCCAACCTAAGTGTAATTAAAGGGTAGTGACACAGAGCTGTTGAGGATTACGACTTCCTTGAAAACACATCTTCACCAGCAGTTCTAAAACACCTATGTCGAGAGGGGGCCGGCTCTGTGCTCGGCGTGTTGTGGAGAGAAGTGGCCAAGCCACGGCAAGGGGGAGGTTCCTGTGGTTGGAAGCAGGCACAGGTCACTGCTTCTTTCTTGACAGAACCCTCACGACCTTTTTAAGCCCTGGGAACGGCCATTTCTAAAAACTAAGTGAACGTGTAAGAGAAAGTACCCATTATGCAATATTAACGCTGCCTCCCTCCCTCTAAATCTCTTGCGTAACATGGATACACAACTCACAAAATAACGCCAGAACGTCTTCATTCTC